CTCCCGTGAAATAAATAATTCGCGCGAGCACGGATCAAACAAGGTTGTGGGAATCGCGTACGATTCCGGAGAGGCCGGAAGGTGGCAGCCCTCCGGGATGTGTCCCTCTGGCGACCGACGAGGAGCGGCGACGCGAAACTGGGCGCCAGACGTGCTCTAGGTCACGTCACTCGCGAAATGGCACGATTGCGCAATGCGCGATAGCGCGAACGAAATCTTTACGCGCGACGACGCTTGACCACCAAACGCCGCTCCCGAAGTCGATCGCACGAGGGCCGGCCGGCTCTACCTAACGGCAGAGGGGCAGGGCGAGGCAAAAGGGCGATGGGATGGCGCGGAGCGGGCGAAAGAATTCGTACTCCAAATTATTAACAATAACAAATAATAATCAGGTTTATTGGCCGCCTGGAAAGGCGGTAAGAAACGGCGGAGAAAGAAAGGAAAAGATAACACAATTCGATAGAAAAATACGGACGTGACGCGATTGATTCAACGCTAATAAGCGCGGATAATCCGACGGCACGATGAATTCCCGCGTGCGAAAGAAAAAGACAAGAAATAGGCGTGAAACTCGGCCGGAAACAAAAAGAAACGCATTCAAAACTAGTCGGCGCGATGGTACAAGAACGGACGAGGCTCGGTACGATGCGTGTACCGAGGTCTAACGACAATAAGTATTCCCGCGACAGCCGATCGTAAGTTTACGCGTCAGATACTCGTACGAAAACGAAGCAGACAGAAAATTGACTTACACCGATACGCAATGAAATCGCGCGCAATGTCACACTACAGCGCGGCGCACGACACTCGTGATTCCGCGTACTCACACACTTACTCTAAGTCCTCGCTCCGGCGCGAAGGCTTTGCGGCGAACTCACGACGACGATCTCCGGGTGGCTCGATACGCGACTCACGACACTCCCGATCGCTCACGGCCGATTCAATGAGAATCCTCGCACTTGAGGACGGACGCCGGTACGCCAAACCAAAGAGCAACTACGAAATACGCGTCGCCGGAGGGGCGCACGCGACGAGACTCTAACACTAAAATGGCGTTCACGTCCGCAGAGGGCGAGCAAGATCCTCGATCAGCCCG